GACATATCGAGACTTTAACGCTCAGTGACATCGAAATTACTATTAAATTGGGATTCGTCGCTCGAATACTATATCAATTTACGCTGATGACCACAAAATTAGCGGTTTGTGCCTTTTATTACCGTGTCTTTACGGATCGGGGCAGCAAGAGAGTAATTTGGTCCATGGCCGCTGCTATAACGATATTCTCAACCCCTCTCTTGTTTTCACACGTCTTTCGATGCCGTCCAATTGAAGGTATCATTCTGAGTCGCCGCCTGTGTCCTCTGTCCTTGACTTACAGATGATAGGTACCTGGTCTCTGATCCCAGCGAAGTGTGCCAGCAATGTCCCTCCTCTATACGCATCAGCAATTCTCAACATTCTCGCTGACGTTGTGCTGCTCGTCTTCGTGATTCCCAAAATTGGTGTGTCTTCCTTCGCCCTCTACACTAAAAGTTAAGCTGAGATTCCTAGCTCGCCTCCAAATCCCGAAGAAGCAAAAACTCTCCCTGATGGCAGTTCTGTCTCTCAGTATCCTCGTCGTCCTAGGAGCAATCATCAGAATAGCACGCATCCTTCACATCGACCGCAGCACAGACATCTCCTGGGATTCGTACGACATCGACATCTGGACCGCGGTCGAGATCAACGCAGGTATTTTCTGTGTCTCCGCACCAGCAGTCAAGCCTCTACTTCGACAGATTGCTCCAGGTCTCCTATCTTCTATCCGCACGACCGACAACTTCACTTCCCAAAGCAGGAAGCACAGTAGCGGAACGGCTATAAGCCGCATGACGGCGAATCATCCAGGTTTTGAGCTGAGCAGCCAGTCGAATCTGGAGCTTCCGCCGAGAGACGCGAATATGGGGAATAAGTCCTGGATTGATTTCGAGACGAAGGCGAGTAGGGAGAGTGATGAGGGTGCGAGTGGGGATGCGGGGAGTGAGAGGGCGATTGTGGAGCAGGAGGTTAGGGAGGGGGAGATTAGGAAGACGGTTAGAGTTATGGTGAAGGGGGCGAAGAAGGATCAGGGGCTTTGAGTGTGTTTGATCCCGTCCTTTCTGTCTCATGATTGGTATTTTGATGTGCCTTGTATGGTTAGCTTTAATCCCTAACATATGATATCCCCGGCGTTTCGGTGGACTTAAAGGACCTGATTGTGAGGCTTTGATTCTTGAGGTGTGTGTGAGCTGGAAACTGGCCTTTGGAGGGCTTGCAGAATTTGACATTTTGACATTTTGACATGCAAAGTCTTGTGGTTCTTGATCATGATTATCTTACCCGGCAACCTCGTCATTACTAGTGACGTGTTCTACCATTGAGATATGCTATTGAGTGTTAGTAATTATTAAAGCTATCAAACCTAAACTTAAAAGGAAGTCGCGTGCTTCTCCCTTCAACAATTTGGTGGGTTCGTTTAAGAGTTGCTTGATCAAAGCGCGATAACTTGAAATCAGAAAGCGAAAATACAGGATTCTGGTTCACAAATATCTTGCTAATTTGACAGAATGTTCCCATGTCGAGCGCCGGTTCGCAGCCGTGATGAAGAGTGTTGCTATAGAATTTATCTGCATTATATCGAAATAAATCATCCATTTTTCACCGAAACCTATTATGCCTTCTCGGCTCTGAAACGGAGGTTACCCTCGAAGTAAACCTCTCTCCTTCTCAACCTCTCCTCCCTATATCTAAGAACAAATATTGATAAAAAAAATCTATTCAAATATTTATTTACTTGTATGAGTCGATTAGACATTCTCAACCACTGCATTTAAACAAACTCCACAAACCGCTTCAGCATAGGAAAAATCAAAGAATTTCCAAGAAACCAAGCAGCATTCTACCCTAAGGTAAAGCTAGACTTAATGCACCGTCTCAACTACTGGGTAGAGAGACACTAGCTCAACTCCACCAGCTGTAATTGCTAATCCTTGAAATTATTCGAGCTATTCTTGAGTTTATTCAAAGAATTCATTGACAGCTCAATAACCAATCCTCAGCAACGAAATTGACATCAGATACTACCGGATCTCTGTCTCAGGCCAGGGTTGTTTACCACTGTGCGCCCAGTAGCTGTTTCTGCCCGAGTTGATGCTTCCGCGTTGGCCCCGTTTATCAAGGTTCCGGTGTTGAAAAGCTGTGTATGGCTGTTTGATGGAAGAGAGTTGGCAGGTCTTAGCTCAGAAGAAGTATTTGGTTCGGGGTTGCTTTCAGCTTCAGCTGGTGAAGGTGATGTCTCTTCTTGATGCACTGTTGCATTTTTGGCTTTATTTTTATAATGCCTCCATGTCAAGTACAGCCCCAAGATGGCAACCGCAACACCTGGTACTCCAAAGCTAATGGATGTTGCTAGAGCAATGCGGTCTGAGAGAGCAAGGCCTGTCGATGATGACGTTGGCGTAGAAGGGGACGTAGAAGGAACAATGTATGCCTGGGTAGGGTTCACAGATACTGCTAGGAATTAGCTTCCAATCTTTTGCGAATCATGGATGTGATAATTCGAAGCTTGCCGACATCATTAGGGATGAACATTCTAGCAACTTGTTTGGACTGCCAATTCACACTGTTTTGATTTCTGTACCTCAATTAGCAAGATTTAGCAGTATCGGAATCAAAATGCCACCTACCCTGCAGCATACCAGTCTTTCACAACTTCTGGACTTCGATAATCAGAGGCATTAGCATCATACGAGTCTTTCCACACCATGTCGGTCATGTCAAAAATGCCAAGGCCCTGGCTAAAAGTATCCTTGACATCCCATACATTGGGAATACTGGGGCTATAATGGTGATTAAGACCACCAATTGTGACCAGTTGCCTTCTACCTACAACCTCGCAAGTATGAAAGATACGGGGTGATTGAGGAGGATAATCTGCTTTAAACCATACAAATCCAGGTATACTTAAAACATAAATCTCGTCGTAGGGCTTTCGGGTCGAGCTGATTTCCCCACCGTAGATGAAACTGCATCAAATGTGTTAGGACTAGGATTCAAATTCATATGCAATATTGAAATCCAACACATCTGATGGGATAACAACTCACATCTCATACGTTCCATTATCACCAGGAATGGAAACGGCGCAAAAGTTCCCCCTGTTTCCTGGGATGGTACCCGTAGCAGTTTGCGAAAACCAAACTCCTATATGTGGATCATAGATCGTAATGTTGTTAAGAGACATCTGCCTACTGGGAAGAATTTGGCTTGCCCATAAAGGTGGACCCCAATCTGAGCAAGGAGTTAACGATGTATCGATGTATCGAAGAATGTATCTTACTAGTACCGCCAAGAATGATTATCAATGATCTGTCAAGGCCAATAGCAGGTAGGGTAACAGCTACGCAGGACTGAATCATTCCATATTCATCCAGCCCAATCGTTGAGTCATTACTCCAAGCACCTGACGTCATGTTGAGGGATACAATACCCTCTCGCCCTATGTTCGCTTGCCCACTTGTAGCAAAATCCGTTTTGCCAGAAGTATAGCCTCCTGTATAAAATCCTGTATCTCCATTTGCAACACCACATCCCGTACTTTGCCTGAGAAGGTGGGGAAATAAGGTATCACTAGATGGAGCGGGGGACCAGGTACCCCCACCAAGGTTATCGATGTTAAATTTCCACACCTCTAGTAGAGGACTCCCATAAATCAGTAGACTTGTTTCTCCAGCCCAAAGGAAGCAGGAATTTCTGTCGGGAGTCTTCCAAAGCGTTTCATGATTCAAGATTGGGGCTAGGCCTTTTGGAACCAAATTTATAGCGACTGTGGCATTTTTCCATGATGAGCTGAGGTCGATTGATAATGTAATATTGTCTGAAATATGAAATGGTTAGAGCTCTCTAAAGCCCCCCAGGAAAGGGTACCCCCAAGTTGCTTACTGGGGCGGTTATGGGACTCAAACCCATCATCTGGAACACCGTCCACAAGCTGTGAGAGCTCACCGCCGTCTATATAGAGATAATCCCCCAGTACCACACCTAACACACTTCTAATGAACTCTATAGCGGCAATTGATAAGATTAGGTAACACTTACTTGCGTGATAGGCTCGACGGAGAAAGTTCTCCGAAGACGGAGAATTCACGGCTTTGTCACGAGTGGGACCCAAGGCCAAGGCTGAAGTTATGGAACATACGAAGAGGAATAGAAAACAAACGCCAGAGAAATTCCTCATATCTTGATTCGATAACGGGTTTTAAGAGACGTGGTGACAGAGCTCATAGAGGCTTTGGGTTGTAATGTCGCAGCCTTAATTCAGCTGGAAATGGTACGTGCACCTAATCCGTTCAGTAGCACGTAAATTAAGGGGTTCAGGGCATAAGCTGCTCCAGGTACACGGGTATATTTGGAGCATTTACACACTCTTGTCAAATTCAGGTGGTTGGAAGCCTTGATTTCCTAATTCTCGAAGGCTGGGAACCCCTTAAAGGTACGGAGGTACAAATCCACTAGTCTCCCACTAGTCCCTCCGCCCCGTAGCTGCCTTAGGCACTAGGTGCTTAGCACCTTTCAAAAACTCTCTCTCGATCTGACCTCTCAATGACCGGTTTTCGCCAATGAAACCCTATTTTATCGACAAAATAAAGCATACAAAACATTCCCAGGACTTGAGTAAACAGCAAAGTCCCGGGTGAAAGTTGGAGCTTGCCCCTGCTCTCCTGAAATGGCTCCGAAAGTGTAACACTTCTCCTCCTCTCGGCGCCTATTGTCCGCTTTCCGAGCTCCTCTTTATATTGCGTGTATGCACACATCGCCCAGGTGCCCGGTATCTAATGAAGAAGCCGCCGGTGGATTTCTGCAATTGTAGCTGGTAGAGTTCCTGCCTGTGTGATTTGTATCCTCGGTACAGATCCCCCTGACACCCGAAGCACCCTAGACAAACTAGTACTTCGGCCCCACATTTCACGTGCCATCCCACCTTTTTTATGCATGACTGCCTTATAGTCAAATAACCAATTCAGCTTCAACAACCAGCAAACAGTGTGGTCGTAAGCGGGTTTCACAACCTGTAAACAGCCCTCGTAGCTCAATGGTAGAGCGCGTCACGTTCGTACCACCGCTTCAATACATGATCAGTTCAGCAGCTAACAACCTTCCAGTAGTAATGACGAGGTTGCCGGGTAAGATAGTCACTACAACGACTATCAAACCAAAAACTAATAAGTAAATAGTTCGATTCCGTCCGAGGGCATTTAATCATGTCAACAAACCTTCATTTTTTGATTTTTTTTTTGGTGCTCTGGTTGTGGTTATTGCCGGAGTGAAGATGATCTGTTGCAAAAATTTTTTTGCAGAGTTGTGCTGGAATTTTTTAGTGGGCTCGCTTCCCTGGAGCGTTTCTCGTTAGCGATACGACTGGTTTGATTGTTTCAGGAAGGTGTCCAAAGGTTATCATCTTTTTAAACAGAGCAGACTGTTTTTGAAATCGCTGTTGTTTTCGCTGCTGCGATATGGATCTCAAATTGTATGTATTGATTGGGGCGGATTTGTGAGCCGGAACGGCATTGAGTAAGTGGATTCGACCGTGTATGTGGTAAGTGCATTGACGTCTGTCCGATAGCCATTGCCCACCTCCGTTCGAATTTCAGGGCCTTATTGAGGCTCTGCACTCTTTCATGTAGGACCGTTTAGAGTTAGGTCATAATATTAGGGCTTAACATTAAGTTTCTAGACGAAGGTGAAGCCTAAGGTTGGCAATGCATGGAAATTGTACTTTCAGCCGTTCCCCGCAGTCATCCGCCCCATCCCCCGAAGAATATCCACCCAATGTCTTCTACAATGGGACCCAGTCGCCACGTCGGCGTCAGCGCGAAAGTTCGACCCATCGTGGTAACGCATATCCCCAACATCAGCATGGGGCTCTGAATAGGTTCCGGAAACTTTGGTAGCGGAAGCTGAAATAATGTTTCGAAAGCACTTTCTTCTTAACGCATGTCTAAAGAGGATAAATGCTCGAAAACCACATGAGAGAAGAAAAGTCAGCTCAGAGAATAGCACCTACAAGCCGCATGCCAGGCCTGTGTAATGTCATCTGTGGTAACGACCACAGCTCCGGCACTGGAGCCCCTTCTACATATGAAAGCTACGACGTCTTGGTCGATACCTTGGTTGATGGCGGGCTGTCAAAGTACCTCATGTCGGTCGAGCCTTTGAGCCTGTCGACCGCCACGTTGCAATGATCGGAGTTCGAATTTTAGCTGTCCACAGTGGATTGTCATATTAGGTTGAAAGAAGGCGGTAGTATTGAGCCCCCGTTCTTGGATGTGAAGGTTCTGAGCACTGTCTCTCGTGCGTAGTAAAATGGCGGCAGCTTGGGTGGGACTGTTAAATCCAAGGATTGAGAAGAGAGATGGGGATGCATGTTGGACGTTGGAAAGAAAGGCTTAATGAGGACTGGTGATGTAACAGTTCAAATTTTATTTATATATATAGGAGAAAAGTTGAAGCTCTGATTAAGGAAGGTGAAGCAAGAAGATTGGATTGACAAATAGTAAAATCAGGAAACGTACATAATTGACAATTAGGGTTGATTTGTAGGGAGAGCAAGAAAAATGTTCTAATAGTTGTTAATATACATAGATTTACCCTTGTGCTGTAATGCTATTGATGGACGAAAAAGTCTGTGGAATGTGTTGGATCGGGAAGTAGGAAAGACGAAAGGTTGGTTGACGGCTCGAACAGCAATCGCCGTGCTCCACGCACAAAATATTCGTGCCAACTTCTGACCTCGGCCACAGTATTCGAGATTAGAGTAAGTTCTAGGCCTCCCTTTTCGAATTTGCCCAAGTCTTAGCATAGGCAGATTTTGGAAGAGATTGAAGAAGGGATTTAAGTATGAGTAACTCCCAGAAAATGCTGATTGGTGAATTCAGGGGTCTCTCCACGTGACCACATCAAAAATCCAGAGCCTTGCGTTCAACGCAACGCATTCCTCTGCATTTCAACACCAGCGCAACCATGCCTTCAAGATCGCCATCTCGAGGAAGGCCGCGGACCCGGTCGCCATTTTCCGAGGCTTCCAATCCCAGACCCGAATCACGATCTCCTTCGCGACGCCGTTCCATATCACCTCGTTCAGTAAGCCGCAGTCCTCGACGAAATGGCAGGTACAGGACCGAGAGTCGTTCCCGCAGCCCAAGTCGTGGCAGAAGCCCAAGCCCTGTTAGAAGCACGAAGGCAAGTTCTAGAATAACTAATAGAAGCACTCTGCTAACTCGCCAGGTTGTGATTGAGAAGCTCACGAAAAACGTCAACGAGGACCATCTCCGCGAGATCTTTGGCGTGTATGGTCAGATTCGAGATTTGGATATGCCAATCAACAGGAACTGTAAGAATATTCTACAAATTGCAAACACCCTGACTAACTTCCCAGTCAACACCAATCGCGGAACAGCATACATCCTGTACACTTCGGAAGCCGATGCCGAGGCAGCGATTGCCCACATGCACGAATCTCAAATCGATGGAGCTGTCATCAACGTTTCGATTGTTCTCCCCCGCCGCAAGTTCTCCCCATCTCCACCTCTTGCAAGACGCGGCGCGAATATAGACCCTCGTGGCCCCCCAGCCGCCAGTTTCCGCCCTCCTCCAGCCCCCAGACGCCGATCTCCCCTTCCGAGCTATGGCAGGCCCGAGAGAAACTTTGATACATACAGGCCAAGATCTCTCTCTCGGTCCCGTTCCCCAAGACGCCACAGAACCCGCTCAAGGTCTATTTCTTCGCGTTCTCGATCCCCACCAAGAAGACGGGGAGGACGCAGAGATAGCCCTGGTCGTAATGGAGGAGGCAGAAGAAGGAGAAGCCCGAGCTATAGCAGTTATAGCAGTTATGATGATAGGAGCCGGAGCCGGAGCCGTGGACGGGGTGGCCGTGGCAGACGTTAGCAGAGATACTTTTGATTTACGGCGCTGGAGTTTGGGATGACATGAAAATTGTACTATTGACTTTTCAAGATACCAATGACACCTGTTTCCAGAGGCCCGGCGAGAACCAGCCGTTTCCATGTTGCGTGTTCAGAGTATGACCGGAAGGTACGATCCTGTTCCCTCGCCTCGCTGCTAGAACTAGCTTCCCGCATATCTTTTACGATAGACAATAAGCCTTCTGCAACAGCCTCATCATCCATAGCTTCCACCGTACCTGGTTACCTACAAAGCAGAGATCTACTTTCTTCCGTCAAAAATCGCCATTTTATATCGCAAGTCAGGTATGCAGAACGAATATGAAGCAATTGAGCATCGCTGATGATTTCAGACTTCAGCAGCACTCTTGCTTTTAACCTTCTGTCCACCCGCCTACAAGCCGTCCTCCTCGCAACATTGTCACCCTGTATAAGACCGTCATCGCGTCCTAGCGCGTGGCGGTTTAGGTGCAAATCCTCATCAGGGTTGATCAATGGCTCATTACTCGAATCCGGGCTCGGCAAACGAAGAATTTTATTTCTGGTTGGCAACAGAGAAGCCGGTGCTCGAGGAGGTTGGAATTTCGGATACATGTGCCGAAAAGAGCATCGAGAAGAGAAAGGATGAGGAAATACAGGAAGAAAAGTGCAACAGAGAGAGACAACGTCAAGAGTTGATCAAGGCCCAATACTACCGGTACCCACATTACGTCTCCCCAGCCGAAATACTACCTCGGGGAATACAAGTATTAGCAGAAGACACCGAAGACCTAGAGAAGGGATTCCCGTATCCGTTAGCGCTCGCAAAGTGCGACATTTCGCTGTCAGACTGGACCCGCTTTGGAGATGCAATCATTGGAAAGTCTGACCACTGCAGAGGCGGACAGTATCACCATCCACATATGTATGACTTCAGGATACATACCATAGCCAAACACATCGAGTACGTCCTTGACAACGTTGCGGAACAAGATATCACCTTCTTTCGACCCAGAGGACTCATCATGCGATTGGATATGCCAGGGGAACAAAATTTTGGGCTTGACTTCATGGATCTCTACTGCGGAAGCGTTATCCGCCTTGACCACCCCGTGCACAATCTATCAATGGCGCAACCTTCGTTGTTCATAGACCCTTCAGATGAAAATGTACGACAAGCAAGCCTTGAAGATTGCAAGAAATTGCCAATGAGACCCTGCCTACATTGTAGACGTGTAGCTTGGGAAGCAGGGTTCTTAGCTATAAAGCCCCACTATCGCGATATTCGTCAGAAGTTTTTTGAAGGAACCCGCATTGTCATCGATCCTATCACAGTCCTAAACAACCCCAAGAAAGCTTACAAACGTGGATGGACAAACTGGATTCAACAATGCAAAGATGCAAAAGAAAAAAAGTCGAGACGTGAAGAGAAGCCCCCTCCAAAATTGGAGCATGCGGCCGCTGAATTGCAATACTTTGTCGATCTGGACGCATACTATGAAGCAATGAGGTCACGGCCGATGTCTGAAAGAATATTTCGTTGGCCTCCTTCGAAACAGATCTACTACGATCGCTGGAGAGGGCACAGTGGCTTTCTGTACCCCAACGAAAGGAGCAGTTGTGAGTTGGTTCAGGTGCGATATGGAAGCTCCCTTAAAAAGTATAAGATTATGCCTTGGATTCCATGGGAAGACTCGATGGACAAGAGAATGCTCACTCAATGGACATCCAAATGCGTTGTGCCGGCTGACGGGATCGAGGTTATGGTGATGGAGAAGGAATGTATTTCGAAAGATCAATGTCCCGGGCCAAAACGGACACCAAGGATACAGCGGGCATACCGCCACAAATTCCCGCCTTTGCCATCTGAATTCGAAGCTGCCTATTACCGGGTGCACGAAGGACGGAGCGGATGGTTGGGTTTAAGGTTTAACAAGTGCAAAAAGATACCCGAGACGTGGAGGAGAACTATGGAGGAGATGAAGAATCCAAAGCCTCCCCGGATGACGTTTTGGGAATTCATGAGTCCTCTCATGAACCATCATCATGCCGGATACTGCTAACCTCCTCTACTGGAAGGTGAATTGATCACGTCAGGCAAAGGAATGATCGGTGGACGGAAGTTTCGAGATTGTGGCTCTTTCAATATTATAAATTTGTTTCAACATCCATTCTCCCGCCTGTCGTGCTGATCACTGGAATTGAAACTCAGATGATTCAAAGTGGGAATCTGATCGCTCAAACAACAATCCTTCAATATTCTCCTTAATTCTCGAAAAGCCCCTGAATCCCATTATACCGACTCCACATT